ACAAAGTCATCAATCACTTTATGCGTTGTGCGTTGAGTATCTGGCATACACTAACCCTTGTGAGAGTCCTTCTGTCAACACTTCTTTTCGTCTCATTATCCGTCTGTGCGTCTATGCATCTGTAGGTGTCTACATCGATAATTATCTGCCTGCTCGCCTGCCTATCCACTCGCGTATCCATATGTTGTCCCATAAATTATTTCGCTTCATGCATTTCGCAGGGAATCCTTAAGGGGCAAATATAGTTCATCAGCCTGCCAGTTTAACTGCCGACCTTTAGGATTATTTTTCATTCAACTTGCTGATCAATTTGATCTATCATATTTCCGGTTGTGTTTTCGTTTGCCTGTCGGTGCGTGTCTATAAGCTTGCCTATCCACTTGTCTACCCACGCATTATTAGAACTCCAAATCGTAACATGTAGATGTGGTAGACCAGCCAAGGCGCGGAAGGGATGTCAATCTATTTCTAATCAACTGCCGATCTTTTTGTTCATTGCTCACTTTGCTTTTTCGCCCAATTTATTTCCTCCGTCTTTGATTCATAACTCAAAAAACTTTGGCAGAGATTTTTTTAAAGTTTGGTAAAAAACCTTACAATGCGAAAGGCCTCATCCGCGATCTAGGAGAATAACCTCTGCACATTCAAAACTGTGAAAAGTTCCCAACATTACTTGAATTTTCTTAGTTTGATCGACACTAATCATTTACAAGTCTACCTAACCTACATACATACATTTATACTTAAGCTCTTCTTCAATAAAAACTAAATGTATTCTTTCGCGATATTAAGCTTCCGTTTGGTTTCCAAATTGATTTCCATAAACCTCTCGAACGTATAAATAGATTGTATGCTTGAATGAATTGATAACTTATTAATGAATGAATTTAAAGACATTTTCGCCGAACATATTGAATCTATTTTTTACGCGACTTCCTCTTTCTTTCTCGTCTACCAAAACATTCTCACGGTTTTTTTAACAAGTGATATAAAAGCAATAATAAAATTTATGCAAATTAATTAAAACATTTTTATTAATATATTGTCATTGGACTAGATAAGCATGAATTTTATATTCATTTGTATTCAAATTTAAACTAAAATTGATTAAGTGATAACATCAGCTATTGATCGAACACATATACGATTTATAAGAAATTTGCTTATGTATGAATTCATTTACAGTTAGTTGCGCACATAAAGAATATTCAAT